GCAAGGGATTGTAGCCATCTCCAAAGCAAGGGGGAGAGAGCTTGATTGTGTCACTACTAATTTACTAGTGTTGGATCTACTCTCTATGTAATCCCTTTTCTTGTTTTCCTTGTAAACCTTATAAACATCTATAGGAGTAAGTAGAAATGTGTGTATCTACAATCATGTCGTTTGACGTTTGTGACACATTATATATCTCGTAAGAGAATCTACAAATGTACTAATATGCAATCTCATTCATCTCTTTTGCCTGCCCCATTCTCTCTAATGAGAATAAACAACTTGGCTACTCTTTCAAACTAATAATATCTCAAATGTGTCTCTCTTACTAGAAGAAGCATCCATTCATTCTCTTACATGTTCGTACATACCTTAGTGTGTCTGGAAAGAGACGAAACAACTGGACCTGGGAACCACGTGCATCCACGTGTCTCATTCTTCCGCAACGAAAATAATGTAAAGTTGGTTCACATGCCACAATCTTTTTCCTCCCACGGCACTCTAACCACCAAACCAAACTATTGATAAAATAACAATCATATAATTCACCCAACAACCTGTACTTCTTAAGTCTTTGTAATAAATGTAATAACGTGGAACCAAAATGATTAACGTGAACATCATCCAAGACAATAATATCAAATTTTGCAGAACAAAAAATAATGATAAGTATAAAAAAAATGAAAAACCAAAACAAAGGACTAAAATTCTCTCAACAGAAGAGGAAATGGTGTGCCACAGACAACCCCCTCCCAATAGAGAGCTTCTTACGCGCACATACTTTACCTCTTCTTATTTTGCCCGCAGCTATAGTGACTTCAATACCAATTTGACCCCAAACAGTACTACTAAACACAGCCTTATCCTCCTTCACTCTGCCTTGGCTCCCTCGGCCTCAGCCACAGGTTTCTCCCCCTCTCCCGTGGCAGCAGCCTCAGGTTTCGCCGTTTCAGCACTTGCGTCTTTGGCAGGTGAAGCAGTTTTTTCCTCTGCCGCCTTTGGCTCTGCAGGCTTCCCATCTTTTAAGCCCTTGGTGTCTTTCCCAC